ATCAACAAGCCTAGGATTCCTGTTGGCCTTTGTAGGAGAATACCAAAGGCAGAGAGTGGACTGAGCTGAGGTCAGAGACAAAGCATGGAGCTGAGGATGGAAATGCTGCGCCCAAAAGCTTGTATGCAATCAAGTGTAGTGGTTCCCAACCTTTTTTTGTCAGACATACTCCAACAGCTCTGTCAAATGCACTCAAGTACCCCGTCAGTGACACCACCTGTCGTGTTCCAAAAGTGTTCATTTCAATTGATTTTAAACAGGAGGCTAATACAATTAATTATTTATACAATGATGCTTTTATATAATTGATCTGCTTTTGTACTACTCCTAGAACCATTTACCCATTATGTTGAGTTATTTCAACTATTTACCAATTAGCAATCTATTTTAACCATCCGATAGCTAATGGTGTTAACCACTTATCCATTAGCCTGATGTGTTTCAATTTTAGCTAACTGTTTCAACCCCATATAAGCCTAATTTTAGGTTGTTCAAACATTAACTTTAGCCCAAAGTTTAAACACGTATTAGTCTCTTTAAATCATTTTAGTAAGTGGATACTTAATGAATACCAAAGTTGTTGAATAATTGACTTTTCTAGGCCTATATTTTTTCCAAACCGTTTTTTGTCATTTTACCAATATTATAAAAGCTATTTTTCTCCACAATCTTCCCATGTAGCCAAATCAAAGTACCTGCACAAGTACAAGTAGGCCTCTGGTTGGGGATCCTTAATCTAGTGCTCAGTAGAAAGCCGTTTTAAGATTATTACCCTTCTTATCTTTCCCATGTCACACACGGTAACTGTCCATTGCATTCATATACATTTAAATTAACAGCTAGATATTAAAATAAATGTACTGGATTAGTCCACCATGGTATCATAATACAAAATGATAGCCATATTATTATGTTCATTGGAGAATTTGAACATTTGAGCTTTTATGTCCTTTGTGAGGGCTAGAAATAAGACTTAAATAACCTCAACAATATGTGTTGAGGAGATGTAATTTCAGCCACTTAGGATCATTAAAAAGAGATCATATTGAATAACACTTCTAGAGAGGGAAAGAGAAAGCGAGAAAGAAATAAAGAACAGATTTGTTTGTCAGTCAATTCCGACCCACTCAATCTCCTTAGCCTTGTGAAAGAGGGGGAGAGAAAGGGTCGGGGTCAGCTTTCTGTAAATCTTCTGATGAAATGTTGACAAAACAGGCAATTTTCTGTAATTTTGCCGCAGCCGTCTTTCAGCAGCTTACTCACTCAGAACCCCTTCATTTCAAACAGCAGCTCACTGCGACCTCTGACATGTATCTCGTCCCTGACTCCTTTGGCCTGGCAGAAAGACAGTAACAGTTGTGCCTTTTAGGTCAGGTGGATGCCGTTTAAGGAGCCAGCTTCATAAAGGACGCCTTTGTCTCTCAAACAGGCTCTCCTGGGCCCCAGTAAAAGGATAAGAAATGTAGTTAATAGCTCAGGAGTGGCCTAATCATCAGCTGCCATTACTGCTCCAATATCAGCAGAGATGACAGACTTATCAATAACAAAGGCCCAGCTGAAGCCTGCACCGCTCTGTCATTTTGATCTTTGCTCCACTAATCAGAGCTTTCATTTGAGCTAAGCACCGGGCAGCACACCTCTCATTCTCTTCATGCTGTGCCAGATATCACTCATCTTTACAAGCCACTCTGTATTCCCCTCAACCCCAGGCCACCATTTCCACAAATTGCCTTAATTTCTCAGGCAAATATATATGACACATCTGAGAGCTCATTACCCTTGCAATGCACTGATTATTCTACTTACTGGTAAAACTATCTTAGCTTTGTAGGTGCGGTCTTAAATGGCTTTGGTTGGAGTCCAACTGATTCTTAAAATTAAAGGATGATAAGTCAAACCGACTATCATTGTGGCATACGTATACTTACATATTTTATAAGCTTTTACTGCTTTTGCTATGATTCCAGAATCGCAAAAAGATTTTAGGCATGTTGTTTCTACTGTTTGTCTAATACAAAGCATCGACTTAAACCGTTATAAACATTTTGAGAACAAGAACAATATTAATAAAAGTCAATAATCTATACAAAGTAGATAACTATCTGCGTTATTCTGTTCTCAAAAAGCGAATTGCTCCTGTAGAATATTACATATGCTAAGGGGATGATGTATATGCTTTTAATAGTGATACATATAACATACTAACATATACATAGTTTAATTTCAATATTTCTCTTGTTCATTCTTCCACGAAAAGCTCCTCCATCAAGGAGAAACCTGAGAGGGCCAAAGAGGTGCTCCCGCACCTGGACGAGCTGGCCCTTTCATTTACAGTCATGGTGAGGATCAGGCACTGACTGACTCAGACACCTGCTATTGGGAAATATGTTCTCCATCAGTGAGCTATAGACTATTTCTGGACAGGAGCACTGGGAGACCATTGTTCTCCCCGGCACTGACAGCCAAGGTATTCTTGGACTCTTGGCACACATAGAAAACAGTGTGTTATTCATGTTAAGCTTAAAAATTGGGCTACTTATTCAACATTACCAAACAAACTCGGGTTTGAGTGGTATTTGTTGACTGCAGCAGAATTGTTTGAAGGCTTTTACTGTTGCAAGAAACTGTGCAGGACCCACAAATATAATTTTTTTGGATGTAATGGAACAAAATCTCGAGACATTCAAAAATCAAATCAGTATTGTAAAACGTGCTAGAGTTTATTAAACAAATGCCACAAATGTTCTTTTTAGACAAAGAATAAAAACCTATCTTCCATATTAAGCATAACCTATGGTCTGAGGCTTAACATACAACAGTGGAGCTCCTTATTCCCTCAGTTTGATACATGATATGCGCTCTTTAAACAAATCATCTGGTCTCTGCTCCTATACAGTCTTATACAGGGGCAGGGGGTTTGGGGATTTTGCAATGTCATCTGGGATTAAAAAGGAGCAGCACATCAGAGCCCGAGGCCACACCACCTGGAGCCCCTATACGATCCCTGGCGCTGCACCACTCAGAACCAGCCCCATTAGCTTACCGTCGAATAATTCCTGGTCAACCAAATGACACTGAGCTAACAAAGCCCCATTTCAGAAAAGATTACAACTTCAACAGGAAACCCTTTGATTATGAGTTTGTTTGAAATGTTATCAATACCATGATCATTCCTGCGGATCAACAAAACCATCTCTAATCACCATGCCTTGGCTGCACTTTGGGTTGTGCATCAATCTCCAGAAAAAGAAAAAAAAGAAGCAAATTACGGTCGAGAATAGAGGAGTGACTTGTTTAACAAGAAGCACGTGCAATGACAAAGCGATTCCTTTCTCTACGTTGATCACCCACCTGCACACAGATTAGGTCAGATATTCACCTGAGCTGCCAACCTGTCACTCACACTCAATAAAAAAAAGAAACACACACAGAACACATTCATTTCATGTTAGTGCTTATAACACACAATACTTTTCCTGTCTCTTTTACAAAGAGAACACATACAACATATACACATTGTTTGCAAGAAGAATGTTATATTAAAATTAAGTGAAATATAGCTATCAACTGCTGATTTGGGTCACAACACATTTAAATCTGGAAATTACATTCATAAAAGTTGATTGAAAATGTTTTTGAAGATTAATTCATATACATGAACACCACTTCTGAGTGGAAGCTGATTGTTATAAATAATTACACTTTATTATATTAATGTTCTACCGTACACTTAAAAGGGATTGCAGTGCTCACATCTCATTGCATTGGTCATCCTCATAAAGCTACATTTAAGTTATGTGTTATTATAAGTTAAAAGCTTAATGAAGTTATGGCTGCCTCGATTAATCAGTGTTGTACAAGACATCAACAACAATATTTGAACCAATGCATGTTTTATATATTATATATATGTGTTCAGTTTGAAGGTTACTTAGAGTAATTTTCATTGTGTTATTTCGTTTTTTGATGTTCATGTTTTTTAAAAAGTATTAATATATAAAATACCTATTTTTCATAAAATGTCTCATTCTGTAACATTCTGCTGTTTCCAACATTTCCTTATTTACAAATGTTGTCAATGTATTTATAATACAACATTTAATAATGATTGTATTGTATAATGCCATCTAATTGGTTGAATATTTTCCTTGTAATGCGGACCCACCGGCCTCAACTTTTCGGAGAGTTGAGGCAAGAGTAGGATGCAAGGCTCTTATCAATTGAGTCTCTGGCGCCCCTTTGTGGTGTCTATGCAGAATTTAATAAATTCATTTTCAGTTTATAAAATCGGATGATGCAATTTATTCGAAAATACTTTGAAATAACACAGCAAATGGTTGACCAAATGAACTAGAAATGTGACTTGCAAAGCTGAAAATAAGTAGAGTTGAAGTTGTTAAGAGACAAATTCACAAAATTAAGCCAAATAACTGAAAAAAAACTTTAAAAGAACAGTTACCATCATGTAGATAATGTTTTGTTCAGCTGCACAGGTGCAAAACTAGAAAGGTATAACCTAGATGTATGTCATCTTGGATTTGCATTGAGACACTTAAATGATCAAATTAGTACAATCATCATCATCATCATCAGCTTTATTTAAAGAGACTCTTGGTCCATTATTAAAAGACATACAACACTCAAATATAAATAATATATATATAAACAATATTTACAAGACCGGCAGATGCACTAAAAACAGATACATTTAGTGTTCACTTTAACTGAAAGTGTTACAATATATACCACAAGCAATGGGGTAGTCAGTATATAAAGTATGGCGGTAGCCACGTTATCTGTTGAAAACTAGTTGGACACCGGCTAAAGGCTACTACATTTTTTTTGCTTATATATATTATTATCCTTCACGTCGTGTATTCTGGACATGGTGTCTCAATACATAGGCTAAGACTGACATAAGCAAGGGAGGGGCTGCTGCAAAACACACTGATAGAATGAATGCAAAGAGCCAAAAGAACACTTCCTGTTGATGCAAAAATTGCAGCAGCAACTGTCTGACACATCTGGACTGGAGAGGGGGGGAGGCCTGGCTGTTAGCGAACTACTGAGGGGAATGGACAACGTTTAATGCTCATCTGCAAAACGGTGAGTAAAATGGACTTGAATGTTGAATTGAACTGGTGACAATAGGGCGCTGGCAATGTCGGTGCGTTCTTGCTATGACACGTAAAGTAATAGGGAAATAATTGCCTCCGACCGTGCGGTACGAACTAGATGCTAGCTAGCGTTAGCCGCTACTTAGCAGTGGCTGATATGGGATGGTTGCTAGCTAAACTAGTGCTAACTGGTAGCATAAGCAAGCTAGCACAGTAGCATGACAGCCGACATAGTTTGCACCCGCGTTCGACGTTGTAACTTAAGCTACTAACATATGAAATGTTGTCAAGCGTTTTAATAATCGGAGAAAGCGTGTCCAAGCAGTAAGACAACCCGACACGAGTCAAAGTATGAAGGCTGTAGGAAAGTTGGGCTGTTTTCTGAGATAATTGTTCGATTCTACTCTAGCTAATGTAGCTAACGCTGTGGTAGTTAGCTTGTGTGCTGCTTGATAGTTTGGGTGGTTCGGCCCTTTTGAGCCAAAGCAAAACCTCTTTTAAACAAATGTTAATGCAAGTTGGCGTCGATATGTAAAATGATAGAGACAACGGCAAAAAGTAGGTGGATGCCAAGCTAACGCTATTGTTAGCTGCTTCGCTAGGTGACTTAGTATAGACCCCCCATCAATAGCTAACTAACTACTAACAGAATGGTTTGTAGTAAAGTTTGAGACACCCCACATTTGCAATGTATCAGTACTGAATGTATGCACAATAATAATAATAAGCTTTATTTGTATAGTACCTTCCCTACAATAATTGCAGTCAAAAGTGCTTCACAGTAGAGAATTGACATCTGATAAAATAGTCACGGGAAATCGATATTACATAGAATACAGTTATCAATACAAGACATAAAATAACACAAAATCAGGTGATTAGTTGAGTATGCATCATAGAGCATTGAGAAAGTGCAGCAGAGAGCAAGTGGCAGGAACAGTATGCTAGTGTACCTCAGTGTCCACTCCAACTTGGTAATGAGATACTATGTACCTTAAATAATATGTAAACTCACTGTGTTGTGTCATAAACAGGTAGCACTAACATTACCTACCGTGTTTTTTGCAGAATATCTGTCAAGCTACAATACTAAAGGTAGAAGTACTAGTTTTAGTCACATTAAATGTACCGGTAAAAGTAATAGTACGCAATGTTATGGCAGCAGAGTACAATGTGCAGGGACATGGCAGGTTATTCTGTATACCCTGGCTCACCTTGCTCATCAAGGAATATTACCATTTCTGTGACATTCATTTTGTTTTGAAAGGCCCTTATCTGTAGCGTTAAAAGCACCATTTGGAAACAACAGCATGCTTTATTCCAGGATAACTACATATTTGAACTATAAGGCATGTCAGAACACAGTGGAGCCATACCAATTACGACGTATGCATAAGCAACCATTATGGCTCTGCACCCATTGAACCCTTCTGTTTGGCATAAGCAGTAAAACTGTATTGGTTTGAACCACCAACTGAAATAAGTATTGTGCAATAATGTGCAGTAATGTCTGGTGAAAACTGGACTCTGTGGTAGATCCTGCTAGTCTGGGAATTCAGAAATTGCTGCGGCATTGTCAGGTGGCTTTCTTTTCACCTATTGCGTAATTTTCCATGATATTTTAACCTTTTTAAAAATGTTGTTCATAGCCCATTATATGGTATTATTTTTTAAATATTTATAGATATAGACCTCACGTTATTGACAGTTTTCAAACCCAACAGGTAGTATTTAGTAAGTCTAAATATTCTCAAGTATTTAGCAGTGTGGTATCCATTATTATTTTAATATTATTTATATTTTCGAAACGTAGGACACTTACCTAAAGATGGGAGTAAAACTGACACTACATGCAGACATGTGCAGGGTTTTGCCGCAGCAAACGATGGCTGACTTGGTTAAAGTATTTTCTACCATTTTGGCTGTAATAAAACAAGTTTTAAGGGCATTGCGTCAAATGTATTATTGCCATCTGTAATTGCAACAGCGGAATCACTGCAGGGTGGCTCTAGGTGAAAAGACAATGTGGCAGGATGATATCCTAGCTAATTACTGCAGGTCATTAAAAGCACTGTTCTCGTTGCAATCAACATGTACATTTGTCAAGGTTGATGGTACACCAAATGCTCAACATATTTTCTTTTACAGCAATAAAGTGTACTTTTTGAAATCAACAGAATCTCGTTCTCCTCACCTCCATATTGCCGAAAGACACACAGCACTATGGCTGTGCGACAAATAGGCGGCATACTTATTATTTTCTTCATATTCTTACTAGTTAAAAGCTTAATGAAGTTATGGCTGCCTCGATTAATCAGTGTTGTACATGACATCAACAACAATATTTGAACCAATGCATGTTTTAAATGTTTTTAATCGAGTTGGGAAATCAGTGTTTGATCATTTATGTGTTGTTTGGAAAGTATACAGATAATGAGGAGGGACTCAAGTAACTTTTGAATTTATCTACTTATAGTGAATAGGCTGAAATGAAAGTTATTTGTTATTCCGTTCAAATCAAATAAGAGAGCGCACCTTAAGGCTAAGCATACAATATTTAGCTCTCCATACTGAGCTCCTACTATTCCTTAATAATATCTGCACTGCATGTTTTTCACACCACATCATACCATGAGTGTATGAGAATCTAGTCTATTTTTATCTTGGTTTTTACTATCTGTTTGAAATTGCTCTGCCAACCTTTGCTTGTTAAGCAATTCTGTTGTGGGTCTGCTCTGCCCCACAAGCTGTTTTTCAAAGTAGGTGAAATGCTGCTGATGTTGAAGAAAGCAAACAATGCATGCTGACTTTGATTTTTCTTCTAATGTTTTTTCTTCGTTTCCCTCCTTATTTGAGTGACGTGGCTAAGTTACATGAGTTATGCTGACCTCATGGTCATCCAAACTATCACAATGTACTCGGCATCCTTTAAACCTACCTACATAAAGCAGCTGTGTCATAAATGTTTATTACCCTAAAGGCAACTTGAGCCACATAAGGAATTTTTGAGCTGAGTTAAAACATTTTCAGTTTTTCCCACGTGAGCCAAGCATGTGACCCTTACCCAGCATGTGCATCTCTACTGAGCATACATTCTTTGGCTGCCCTTCAACTTGGCTCCATTCAGTAGAGTAGCAAGCTTTTGGCAGACATTGCTGGTATGTTTAACTGTATGAACATGCTGAATTTGAAGGCTGGTAATGGGGGAGTGGAAATAATATACATTACACCTTCTTACGATTCTCTCCGTTTTGCTACATCTTTCCCTCCTCTGTGCCAGGAGGAGAGCATATGGCTTGTTTGACAGGTGTCTTGGCAAGCTTTGGCAACTGGAGAAAGAGTTTACTTTCCCAAAGTGCTGATAGGGACTCAATGCGCAGAAAATACTTTGCTGAATTGCCAGCGAGGGGCAGGGAGGGAGGAGGAGGTGCAGAGGGAGAGAAGGGCAGATGGAGTGGGGGGAGAGGAAGGTTGAGCTGGAGAACTGTCGCATACTAAGGGTTTTGAAAACTGAATTATTTGCTCCTACAAACATTAAATGACACAGTTGGTAATATAGCATTTAATGCAAGGGTGTCAAACTCAATTTCATCGCGGGCCACATTAGCATTATGGTTGCACTCAAAGGGCCGGTTGTAACTATATAAATATACATATATATAATATATATATATATATATATATATAAAATAATGTATTGTATTACATTATTGCCTCTGGATTGGATTATTATCGGATAGGGTAATAACTAAATACGTTTGAAAGCAGAAGTCCAGGGCAAATCATTGCAAGTCTCTTCAGTGTGCATGTCACAAAACGAGATGCATTATGGGACATGTAGTTTATGGGCAACCTGCTTCTGTAAAGTGGCATGTAACCGTATAATAAACGTATTATATTCTTTGCAAGCTCTTGCGGGCCACATAAAATGAAGTTGAGAGCCGGATTTGGCCCCCGGGCCTTGAGTTTGACACCCCTGATTTAATGGAACAGTTTCTGCTGAAAAGGGCCTCTGCTAATTTGTTTAGTAAAATCAGCTTGGGCTGACTGAAATCGTTTGAAGCTTCAAACATTGCCGTGGTCCAAATCAAAATTCAAATTACTCCCGAGTCCAGTGGCGGCATGCTTTACACCACTCCATCCGACGCCTGGCATTGTGCTTGGTGATGTAAGGCTTGCATGCAGCTGCTCGGCCATTAAAACCCATGCAATGAAGCTCCCGGCGCACAGTTTTGGTGCTGATATTAATGCCAGAGCTGGTTTGGAACTCTGCAGTTATTGAGTCAGCAGAGCTTTGGCAACTTATACGCAGTATGCGCCTCAGCACTCTCGGTGACCCCGCTCTGTAACTTTACGTGGTCTGTAGGGGTGTACCCGAATATCCGGTCGTTGGCCTACTATTCGGTTTTCAATTTCGTTATTCGGATATTCGTTTTTGTTCTTTCAAATTTGAATTTATTGAAATCTCCAATATCAACGTAAGAGCTTGTGCCTCTTCGGGGGGTGCTAACACCTAACCATAAACTTTATCCTTTACTTTCTCCGTCTTTATATGTAGATTATATCTAGATATTTATTTTCTCCGTTAATCTCCGCTCCTTTTCTCCGTCACGTTGTTTTCATAGCAACAACAACTTCCTGTCAACAGCGCTAACTCTCCTTCAAAATAAAAGCATGTCCATACAAAATAGGAAGCCAAGCCAAATTACACTTAAGACATATATATACAACCGCAACGAAAGTAACAAACACAATGCACAATAACATCAACACAATATCCTTTTCAATTTCAAAGAACACAAATTGGGTTAGTTACATTAACTAACCGTGCGTGCCGAATATTCGCTGCCGATTACTACCAACCCGCGCCGAATATTCGCTGCTGATTACTACCGAATATCCGGAGCCCGGAAAATGGTATTCGGGACAGCCCTAGTGGTCTGTCACTTCGTGGCTGAGGTTGCTGTGGTTCCTAAACGTTTCCACTTTGCAATAATACCACTTACGGCCCGTCCACACGGCGGCGTGCGTTGAAGCTTGGCGGTGGGCGTGTGTGAAGCTTGGGGATTTCTCGCGACCAACAACCAATCACATGAATCTCCCGCCCCCGACATATAAAGCAAAGAAGCCCGAAGTAAACTGGATATAAACTCCCCAAACAGGCGAAGACCTACCACTGTCTCTGCCACCTCCCTCCATGCCTGGCTCCTCCGGTTTGTATCCCGGTAGATAAAGAGGGACTGGTCGTATAGGACCGGGTGATTCCCTACTGCTATTATTATTTTATCCTCCATTTTTTGGAACATGAGGAAATGACCTGCGGTATGGCTCTCCCAGCATACACGCGGTTTGATTGGCTAGCGCTTGTACTGTCAGATTTGCATAAGCGGGATTTGATTGGCTGAGGCCTCCGTCGAAGCTTCAAAAGTTGAACATTGCTCAATTTTTGCCGCGAGCAACGCGTAGCGACGCTCCCACAATGCAGTTCGGCGAAGCTTGACGTCACCCCATTCAAAGTGAATGGACAGAAGCGTTGAAGAGTCAACGCACGCCGCCGTGTGGACGGGCCGTTACAGTTGATCGTGGAATATCTAGGAGAGAAGACATTTCACAAACTGACTTGTTGCAACGGTGGCATCCTATTACAGTACCACATTCAAATTCAGTGAGCTCTTTAGAAACGACCCCTTCTTTCCCAAATGTTTGTAAAGGCAGACTGCCTGGCTAGGTGTTATACACCTGTGGCAATGGGACTGAATGAAACACCTGAATGCAATGATTAAGAGGAGTGTCCCAATACTTGTGTCTATATAGTGTAGGTTACTAATAGACTTCATGAATAGCCTTTGTTGAATAAGCCTGCTAATTCACATTTCATTTAAGCCTTGTCATTTTGTTATTTAAAAAAGTTTATAATAAAACAAAAAAAGTCAGAAAATGCTTGGATTTCATAGGCAGCTGAATGTAAACATGACACTCTTAAAATAAAAGCAAATATCTGAAAGTACAAACAGGAGAGAATCCAGAGAGATTAAGGAAGTAAACTGAAACTAAAGAGCCGCTACAAGAGGTAAATCAAATATTTAGTTTCTTTCTTTCACTTGTGGAAATTGTACCCAAAACATTGTGTATACAAATATGTTTTACATCTCAAATGGACATTGAAATAAGGAATAGTTATCCCACAATAGTAATGATACATCATTAACATACTTTTTAATGAGTTATTCTCAAAAGAGATAGCACTGTGTCCCTTTTGAAGCAGCAACGCCTTTCCCTGGAGGATCTGATGTTTGACTTTGTGAAAATGTTTTAGCTTAAGCTTGATGTAAGGGCTTATGAAACGCAATAAGAGGCTGTTATGCTCACTAGGTAGAATAATCGGAGCAAGCTAACCACAGATTGGCAGAAGCCTTCAAGAATGTTCTTCTTCGTAGAATAGCAGCTGCAGGCAAACCAACTTTTCCTCTTTCTCTGCCAAATGCGGCACATACCTTTTTATCTCTACCCTCGTATGACTAATCGGCATATTGTGTTCAACCAGTCGCAATCGTTTCATCTCCTTTCTGATTGTGTCTTTGGATGACTTTGTGACACTCCCTCATATACTTGCAATGCATTATGGAAATGTGGTGCCACTAACACAAAACAACCAGTATTAACAGCCATTCTATTGCACTTTCTATATGTTGCTCTAAAAAAAAACACCTTAAATATTATTTTTTAAAATAGACCTTGTTGTAGTGGTAGCTGGTCAAAGCTGGTGAGTGCTTTCAATCTTGTGTTTATTAAATGAACCTATAGAGTGACAACTGGTTTCATTTGGGGATCTTCATATCAAGTTGTTATGCCACCGTTTAGTCATTCTGACGATACTGAGGCCCAAATCAGATTTTTCCAGCTGCACAATGCACACCTCAGAGGTCATTCAAAGTTATTAAAATCAATGAAATGTTTATGCTTCACAATTAAATAACTGCATTGGGAAAACATATCTGCATATATAGGGTTATTTAATGTTTTTTTTTAATCTTTTATAAAAGAAATATTAAAGTATAACATAAAAAAACACCTGTAATCTTTTTCTTCCAATGTTGGTTTCTTTAGTGCAGCACGAGTTACCTGAATCAACTGTATTTTGTTGAATGAAATATTTTGTTGTCTGTACATATATTTACTGGTGATTACATAAATATATTGGCTCTTTGCTCGCAGGGCCTTTGTTACACTTGCCGTGGCGTTTGTGAGTGTGAGCTGTCCGTCTCCTCTGGGCGGGGGCTGGGCTCTGCCCACTGTGAAGCACCATACATGACAGCAGACCTCACACTGAGCTGAAATGAAACGAGTCCACATAAATGAGGTAAATAACATCAATAACCAGTCTCATACTGCTCTCTGCTGTTGTTTATGGTGTGTGGTACTTGGCGGTGCAGGCCTCGGCCCCTGCTCTTAATCTCACCGAGCTCAACAGAGTGGAGGAGAAACAGTGTCCGTTCGGGTAGTAGTCGGCTGGCCATCCCGTGACTTTAATGTCAATCTTTCAGTTTGTGTGTACAGACGGAGAGATCGAAATGACGTTTCCAACAATCCCGAATACAATTATACAATATACAGATATGTATAAAAATATGTATATCCTATATACACAATCAACAGACACATATGCACACATTAAGATAAAAAACACAACAATCAATATATACAAAATAACAGCGTAAAAAATAAGTGTCTGGTGCTGGAGAGCTGAGGCAGCGAGACCCGAGTGAGAGCCTTTGAGCGCAGATCTCCCAGCTCCCAGACAGCCTCCTGTGTCACCAGTTCATCAATCGCTGATGCCGTTGTTTTCTGAGATGCATGAAAAAAATGCTGAAATGTGTATCCAAGTATACTTGAGTGACCGTTAATATACCTGGGCGGCCTGCCAAAGTAAATCTTATGTGTGGGAAACACTGGCATTGACTTTAATTAGTTAAGGTTCTGATGAGAGACAGTAACAAAGAATGCTGTCATCATGACATGTTAGGAGAGTGATCTACCGTCGTAACTTTAAGTTATTCACAGGGCGTTTTAGAGCTACAAAGTGGAGTGCATCTTCTTTAATCTTTCTCTCGTGCATGCACAAAGTGCGCATGTTGCAGGCAAGTACTTGCTTTACTAGCAGGTAAAGCAAGTACTTGCCTGCAACATGTACTCTTCACCTTCATGATGGAAAACCAGGAATCACCTCCCTGAGAGAAATGTTCCCTGACCTCGGAACGTTGGGTTTACTGGCGCTGTATTGCTGGTAATTCCAGTCCGCTCTGTTGCAGCAGAGTAACGAGTAATTCCAGTAAATGATTTTTGCAAATATGGCGCAATCTTTGTCCTTATGGTGTAATAATTCGTAGTTGCCTGAATCAAGATCTCAATATTTAACAACACATTTTGCAGTCCTCCTGTATAGTACATTTATAATGGTGCCTGTGGATGTCTTTAAAGATGTCTGTAGTGTTCCCCCGGGCCTCCTGACCGATAGAGGCTGCCCACTGCCCACTACAGGATTATTGAGGCTGACGCTGTGTCAACAGGAAGATATGATACAGCAGTCTATGTTTGCTGCAATTCATTCAGTGTTGTTTCTTATGGCATAGCATTTTTCATACATTAATGTATAAAATAAGACTGTCATCTTAAATAAGTTGTTAAAAAAATTAAACAATTCTGCTGTGTATTGAAAATGCAATTTAAAGAAAACTAATAATTTTCTGTCTTTTCTTTTTCTCCTTTTCCCATCAGGCAGCCGACAAACTGGAGAAACATATCCAAGAAATGGACGACGGCAGTTACATCGAGTTCGATGTGCCGGAGTTCAGTAACACTGTTCTGGACCAGCTCAATCAGCTGCGGCTGCAGGGGAAGCTGTGTGACATCATCGTCCACATTCAGGGCCAGCCGTTTCGAGCCCATAAGGCCGTGCTGGCAGCGAGCTCACCCTATTTCCGTGACCACTCGGCTCTCAGCACCATGAGTGGCCTTTCCATCTCGGTCATCAAAAGCCCTGAGGTGTTTGAGCAGCTTCTTGCATTCTGCTACACGGGTCACATGTCCTTACAGCTCAAGGACATTATCAGTTTCCTCACTGCGGCCAGCTTTTTGCAGATGCAAGCCATCATTGACAAGTGTACCCAAATCCTGGAGAGCATCCACTCCAAGATCAGCATCCCAGTTAGTGTCTGCAGCCCAGGGAAGGGCGACTCGCAGACCAGCGGCAATGGGGTCAACGACAGCAACCTCTTTGTAAACCCTACCCAGATCTCCCCCCCTTACTACTCCCGGCAGAGTCAGGCAGGACATGAAGTGCGCTTTGAGCTGCCAGGAAAAACCCACAGACGAGGCCGACAGCAACCGGAGGAAGGCCAGTCGGACCGAGGCAGCAGTGATAGTGTGTCAGAGCACGATGCTCGCATGGAAGGAGAAATGGAGCAAGTGGAACTGATCGGCAAAGATGGGCAGGTGACCGACGTGCACGTGAAGATTGAGAAGACCGAGAGGCCCACTTACTCAGATAGTTCCTCAGCCGGTGATGATGGCTACCACACAGAGCTGGTAGACGGAGAGCAGGTACTTGCTGTTAGTGTGGGATCTTATGGTCCAGTCATCCAGTCGGCTGCCTATTCTTACTCAGGGCAGTCCACCCCGTGCTTCGTCAACCTCAGCAGCTCCAGTCCCTCCCGCTCCTTACTCAGTGGCTACAGAGGTGGGCGAGCCAGAGTGAAGCGGCCCCTGGGCATCCCGGCTGGAGTGCTGAGTCGTATCAAACCAGGCTCAGAAGACAGCGAATCAGTCGTGGGACCCACGGGATTGGAGAATGACGTGCGAGAGCGCAGCCTGCGGAGCCAGTGGTACCCCTACAACGAGAGACTTATTTGCATCTACTGTGGTAAGACCTTCAACCAGAAAGGGAGCCTGGATCGCCACATGCGCCTGCACATGGGAATCACCCCCTTCGTTTGTAAATTCTGCGGCAAGAAGTACACAAGGAAAGACCAGCTGGAGTACCACATCCGTGGCCACACAGACAACAAGCCCTTCCACTGTCAGATCTGTGGCAAGTGCTTCCCGTTTCAGGGCACCCTTAACCAGCACCTGAGGAAGAAGCACATGGGAGCATCAGAGGTGACTAACCATATAGACTCTCCAGAGACCACCGAGGGAAGCTCAGGTCAGAAGGACACGCAGGAAACGTCTGAGGGGATGGCCTTTGAGGCACAATATGCAGAGGAGGCACCGGCCAATGAGGAGGAGAGTTCAAAATGCAGTCCAGAGGAAGCTCAAGCCTCAAGATGTGATTTTTAGGTCCTGCTTCAGGTTAAGGAAGCTTTAAGAAATGTTTATCTTAACTCAACTTAAAGGACTTTTTTTCTTTTTGAATCAGCTCCCTCTACTATAGACATTTCTTGCGTCAAGGGGTTTCTGTCAATTTGTGAAAGTAAGATGTTGAATGCAGAGAGCAAATGCGTGCTTTATAGAAATCCGATTCTTTCAAGCAAAGGGAGTGACAACTTACTATTTTTGAGGAGGTCCCAATAATCAAGACCCCTTAATTGATTTATCTTTTTATCTTTCCATGTTTTTTAAAACATATTTACAGAGTTATATAGGCATGTTGCAATAATTGATAATGTGAAAGCTCTGGTAAGATGCTTGTCATATCACCTTTTTACCTGACCTGTTTTTGCACATGTGGCCACAGGAGGTCACTTACTCACAAGGAATGATTTTTCTGCCAGTGCAAAGCTTCGTGTGACATATCCGTTCAATACCTCATGATACAACTACATACTCATAACAGACAGTATTTTAACTTAATGAACTCACCAGGTTCTACCTCATAGCCAAGAACCTACTAGGCACAGACGTGTTCACCGTTTGAAATCCGTTTTTAGGTTGTATGTACAGTATCTTTATTGCCAAACCCTGTACAGAATATTCTCTCGACACAAAGCCTTGATACTTATGTGAAATATTCCTTGCTGATTGTATGGATACGGGACAAAGTCCTTGTTTCATGGTCAGCCAGGTTGAAATGATGTTTAAGAAGGTGCTATGTTAGCAGTACATTTGCTAGCTTTCTTGTTTGTTTCTCCAGACAATAGAGTAAGAAAATGGCCCTGCATATTTTCAACATGAGTTTGCTGTCTTGTAACGTTTGTTCTTCAAAACACTTAAGAATCTTATCTCTCATCACTACTGCAGATCTCACCCGTTCGTGGTTTCAGATGCTGTCATCCATGAAATGGGTGAAATCCGTCCACACAGTGAAGTCATTTATATTTCTCTATACTCTGATGGCAGACTTTTACTGAATTATTGTATGTTTAAATTGTTTTGTCCTGAGGTAGGCTTCTAGGTTAATACTCAGAGTTCTCATTGTCAACTCAGCACAGTAGGAACAGCTCTGGACTGTTCATATAAATCAACATAGTATACTCTTCTGAATGATATGCAAACAGAAAGAACAAAGGAATCTCAGCCATTTTGACATGGTTTATTCTTCCATTATTTCAAAGAGCTCTTGCTTTGCTTCCTTTCTTATCTTTGCTTCTGTCCCACCTTTCTACGATGGGACGATTGATCTGTGATCTTTTTTTTCTCCGCATTGATCGGGGTCAGATGTGGAACTGCAACAAGTTTTCCTCATTGGTCTACCCTACTTTATGGTGTTGACATTAGGGATGCCAGAAACTGACCATGATCAAAATCGAAAATCGGACAGCCCTGGCGAATATTAATCGATTAGTCAATGGTCATTTACAATTATTAATACTATTACTATTATTAGCATTAGTCTATATTTTGGTTGAAACCAAACCAGGAAAAAAAAAAACATAAATATTAATAAAAAGATATATAAATAAAATCGAATTTTAAAAATAATCTTCGATTATGGAGACTGTAACGAATATTCGAATAATCGCTGGCATCCCTAGTTGACATTGATGTGGCACAGCTAGATTAAGGCTAAGAGTTAATGTATTTAGAAGTAGCTGGTGATCCAAAGTATGATGCACTTTGCAGAGATGGGGGGGGGAGGGGCGGGGGTTGTGCCATTGAGAAAACGTGCTAACTTCTGTCTTCATTCTGATGCGGCAGGGTAGGACTAGATTGACAGCAGTGCTTCTGCCTATACGTACATATAGTGTGATCTTTAATGAGACTCTGCAATCACATGAATACTAACGTCTACAAGTCATGCATATGGCTACATATTATATACAGTTTGAGCCATGGGGATCAGGGACTTGGGTTTTATTTCCATTCTGATTTAGGTCATCTGTATTTTACAGTTAATACATAAAAAAGGCACTTAGAAGGCCTGATTGATTATCCTGTTATATTTAGGACATTTAAAGCTCAGCTGGGTGGTCACTTTTGTGCTATCATGCTTTTTCCTTTTTACCATCCAGCTGTTAAAATACATTTATTGAAGAGCACCTGCTATTTGCTTTTATTTTGTCCAATCGAGTCCATGCTGAATTTGTGTCAATGAATTGGGTTTGGGTTTTTTCTTCTCACAGTTTACATATAATGTTCTATGTTCGGTTGGTGGGAGAATATTGGGTTTTGTTTCTCATGTCTGACGTCAAGCGTGCAGTCTTTTTTTTTTGTATTATTCCGGTGAATGTGCGGTCATTGTCTTCTCGTTGACAGTCGAACCAAAATGTAGGGAATTTGGCAAAAGTCGGTATAGCTAGCTTTTCGTTGTCTTTGTGTGCCCGGCTTCATCACAAACACTTTAGTTCATCACACCCACAGTCTGTCCACCTGTACAGTCCTTTTAGACGAATGTTTACTGAGTGGAGTGTTTATCTGTCGGCCGCTGATGTGCAGGTTGAACAGCTGATCTGACCTCACTAAAGATCAGTCAGTGACCTGTTTGAATCTGCCTACGACGAATACACCTCACCTAGGAAGAAAATAGTTGGAAATGTTCAAACCTCCTTGTCAGTAATGCTTTGTGAGTAAAAGGTACAAAATGCTAAAATAATTTTGTGCCAAGAGTTCACACCAAAGACTAATGGGTGATTTTTTAACTTTAAAATGTTGACTGTATCACATGATTGAATGCTCATATTAAGAAGTTCTTAATTTAATGTAGGACTAGTCCATTGCTATTTGCAAGGAATGCACGTTTCCCAGCTTATAACAATCACTTGTGTACAATTTGAACAATTTGCTAAGAAGACATTAAGCAGCAAAGTCATAAATAACACAATATATTAAGCCATACAAAAGCTGACAATATAAAAGTTGTGCAATAGGTATTGTAATTGTTTAAAGCCAATGTAAACAAAACACAAAAAGTGGCATCTTTAACTTAGTGCCTTGCCACAAGCTTTACTTTGAAGATGCTGGCACTTAGATTCCTGTGCCTCTTTCCTTTTCTAATGGATTGAATAGAGCAATTTATAGAATATGGCCACAGTATTAATCTATAGTGGTACCAAGAATGAATACAAATGAATTCATTTCATCTTTGTCCAGTTGTTTTCCAGCTCAAGTCCTGTGCCCTGATCTGGCTCTTTATATTATAGTTTTTGCAATCATGGATTGGACAACTGATTTTATGGTTAATCTACTTTTGTAGCAATGAATTACAATCAAAAGAAGCAGTGTTGTTCCCTGCAAGCCACTTCCCAGTGTTCAGAGACCTCACTGTATCCTTCCTCTCTGACCACTCTGGACAATCTTAACAATGTACTGTATTTTGGCATTTCAATGAAGGAAGGAGATGCATGACACACACACACGTCTACTTCCTCTCTGTTCACTCGGAGCATCTGGCAAGGGAACAGCTGTTTGGGTATTTAGCAGATGATAAACCTAATATTCGTGGAGGAGAAAAAAAGAAGCTTTCCCTTATATACTGTAGCTGAATTGCACGTTGCTCAACCACAAAATTGTATGAAATTGCCAATGGATCATTGTTTTTACATGTATTTGTGTCATCAATTGTGCACTTACAGTTTTTCTTTTTATAGTCAATACCAATTCCATCCGGGAAGTCTAGTTTATTTCTGTGTTTTCTCTTAAGGGACTGAGCTATAATGCCCTCAATCACTTTGCTAGGGACCATTTCCCTCTTAAATGGTGCTTTAGACGAGTCCGATCTTTTTTCTTTTTTTTTTTTTTAAACGAGTCCATATAATCATAGGTGAATGGAGGGGAAATCGTTGTATTGCTTTTTCATGAACTCTAGTTACTAAATGTGATACACACTTACAAAACCAACTGAACTTGACATCCACTCAAATCAACTCCACACCTCGGAGAGGAGCAGGAGATGCATTATGGGCCACAAGTAATCAAAAGGAAGTGTTTACAGGGAAGGCTGTCAGACTACTTTTTGAAATTGCAGCTCGTCCTATTCTTTTTTTATAATAAACTCACTTCAGGTAGTTTACAAACACTGATACAGGCTTAGAAAAAAAATCTTAAGTCTTCCATAGCTTTTCTGTCAGTTTCTGTCCACTGTGTATCATAAGAAAAAGCAATAACCTTTTTAAAAGCGGTGTATTGGGATCATCAAGCCTATTGAAATATTGACCTGTCGTATATCAAACAGAATGAATGTCAGGAGGCTTAGTGAATTGAAGTAAGACCAGGGCGATTTGATATTGATTGATCTTTTTTCATATATATATATTTTCTGAAACTTTGGACGGGTTGACTTTCCTCTTCAGAAAAAATATATTTAAATGAAAAAGCGACGTTGCTGGCTGGTGTTATGAATGCTCATCAAAAGCCAGTGGTAGACAGTGAACTGCAACACAAGAAACAAGTGCATGGTTATCAAACTAGTGGCACTGTTCAGAGTTGCACCTCCAGCTGTGTCAAATAATGAAAGGGATTTTGGGCTGTAAAGCCACTGTTTGGGAGGGGGCCGTCTGTCATCATGGCGAGGTTCAGGGGTCTCCTTCAGCATCCTCGGGGTCTGACACTGTAGCTGTGGTTGTTTAGGACAAGGGAAGATTTCAAGTCAATCTATTGTTCCTTCTCCCTTTACAACTCCCTAAACTCTACACTGCAATGTCTCTGGCTCATATGTATTTGGAGACAAGGCAAAAAAAGAACTTAGAACTCAGGGTATATCATGTTAAAAGTGGTCTCATTGGACATATGTGTGTCCATAGTAGAATTGTGCACTTCTCTTCAGGTGGGGAAACAAGTCCTCAGTCAGTGGTTCCCAAACATTCTGCCTCAACGAGCCCATATTTTCCACAGAGCTGAAGCTCGAGGAGCGCTGGAGACCACGTACCGAAGCATTATTACAGACATGCCCTAACTCCTGTTTTGTCCACTCTACACACAACCTCACAACCCAACTGTGAACCTCAGAACTCTACTGTTTTGTACAACTATGAAGTAAATGAAGCTAGCTAGAGCTGATGTATCTATTGCCATTTATGAATTTTATTTTATAGCATGAAATAAAATATATTTATTCAAATTATATATTTTACTCATCATCATTCTGTGCTGCTTTGTTTTGGTTCTTAAGCTTGTAAATTGCTTTTTTATTATATAAAAAATGTCAATAGATTAATGCGTTTGTAAAATAAAGACGCTCATTTGGCTCTGATTTGTCTTGTCTTGTGTGTCTCTAGTTGATGATTTATTCACTTGTCTGTGTGCATGCTAACTAAAATGACCTTAAACAAACAACTGTAATATCCAACCATCCTTAAGTAGTCTTGTTTACAACGTGTTGAACAAGGCATCCAATATATGGGCAAAATGTGTGTCTGGCATGAATGGAATCCACATGATGCTGCAGTAAACTGTGAATGCCATCTGGAGGAATATCTGGCGTATGTGCACCGTTAACCCTCCAGAGGGAGCTAGAGATCAACAAATACACCTCAAACTTGTTTCTTTTGAACCAGAGAGTATAGTTTAATAACAATAAGATACATATCTCAAAATGATATGGCTTGTGACTTAAACACGTCTCTTAAATGTCATTACTAGTGTTACTTATAACAGCTGTCTTGATTAAATGTTAGGCCACTTTTATGAAATGTAAGGTGTACACGTTTCTGTTATGATCATTTACAAACCAGATGTTTAAAAAGACTTCTTCCTCTTGTAAGTTCTCTTGAGAGTTCAATAATCTTTTGTTTTTCTTTGCTACTATCGGTGCATGTGGAAATAGCTTATTCACAAAAGTCACAGAAGCCAAGTTGTAGATTAAAATACAATAAATTGCTTTAGTCTCCGATGGCTGGTAATAAAATGAATTTATCACCAGTCTCCTATTCCTGCAGGATCTCCAGATATATACGCTCTGCCCAATCCTCAGCACTGCTATAGCTCTTGTCCTGACTGTTAAAAAATGCACCCAAAGGGAGGAATATATTCATGGAGTGGCACAGCTGTGGACCAGTCTCCCATAGTGTTACCACTGGCTGTGGGTTTTACAGAAAGTGAGACCATAAGGGAGCCAAATGACTAATAAACTACCAAATTGGCCTGCTATGTACTTTTCTGAAATGTTCTTGAAGCCTTTTACAACAGTTCTTTTAGGCAGCATGTTGCAGCCAACATATCCAGTGTTTTATACCTAAAATAATTGTCAAATATATTTTTAACTTTCTGATCAGTAAATGACACTTCTTGGCAACATGTGATGTCAAATAAGCCTCACTCTATGCTTAAATGTTAAAATAAACTGGATGAATTGTTTGAATGGCAGCATTATAGGGCTGCACTGACACTTGATATTAAAATAATAGGCTAAATTGCCCAGTTCAGTGGAACAAGTTAATACAATAAGAACCACAGAAAACAAGGCCAGGAAACCTGGGGTAGTCTTGTTTCCACAAGAGTCTTTAACTGCATTCTATGGTTATGATGTATTGTGGCTTTCTGTAACACAAACTCTACCAGTTGGACTGGAGTGAATAATTGATAGGTATAGTTGTTTCACACATTTGTTAATATGAATGGCATACACTTTCAGGGTGATCTTAAGTTTTGTTATGGTACATGACTGGTGGGTATTCAATTCCCCTCAATTTTGTGTCACTTTGGCTCAAATTGTTTTGGCTTGAGCTGCAGCTTTCTAACCATAGACTGTATGATTTTGACTAATTTCACAGTCAAAAGGAGTAATTGATGACATGCATAGCTAGATTGCTGCTGGTGCATTAAAGTATCTGTGCTTTGTACTTTAACCCTTTAATTAATTCAATAAAAATGGTAGTAGATTTCGTACCTGATGCTATTTTCACTATGGGACATTTGGAGGGGCTCATGTGAAGCTTTTACATTTTTTAAGCATCATTTTTTTAGGGTTGATTAAGCTAATGATTATGTCTGCCTAAAAGCTAATTCATTGTTCGTAAGACAATGAATGGACCCTGTTGCCAGCCCTGTACACAGAAAATGCCATTCTGTCATAATGTTGTTAGCTCTCTGAATGTCAGGAGTGCAGCTTGTAAGGAAGAACAGGAAAACAGGTGAAGGGTCCCCAACTACAAAAGAGGAAATATAATACTCTGTAGCTAACAAGTTCCTTTATTCCTGAAGAAATTCCTTTTAGGTAAGTAGCCAAAGGAAACTACTGGTCAACCTCAACCATAACGTGCTCAAAAGAAAATATGTAAAGTGATCATTTAGGGAAGTTAACCTCTGACCTGTTGGCCTGACTCAAACAACTCGTGTAATGTCTGCAGGGCACCAGGTGTGCTCCACATCCAACCCACATCATGGGAACGCTATCAATATGACAGCATGGAAAAAACTACACAACAGCTAACAGGTAATGTTACATTTTCTTTTAGAAGTCGAATATTGTCGATCTTTTGTTTGTTTTAAGCAACGTAAAGAGATTGTGAGTGCAGCTACTTGTCGGCTAGTAGCCGCGCTAGCTAAAATACAGTATATAAATCTGCAGGACCTTTCCTGTAAATGTGGATCATATAAGACTGTGTCATGTCATTTGCAGTTTGAATAGTTTGTAAACACTTGTTGGTTTCTGGATGTGGACTGGATAAATATTCAAGGCGTATAAGGTATAATAAAAGAGCAAGTGATATTGTGTCCAGACCTTTATACAGTCTATGGTCCAGACCCCTGTATTTTTCCTGAAAATGCCAGGCATGCTCTTTGCAACAATGTTCTTTGAAAAGTTGACGCTGCATAGTAAAAAAAGCACAGGTGTTAACTATAAGGTGAATAAATTGGTATTAGTGAACTGTTATGGTCCATTCTGACTACATGGATTACGCGGACACTATAATTTAGTGTAAGATATTGCCAAAATATTACTTTAAAACCCTCAAACAATAAACCAACACTACTAAGAACTATAAGAAGAAGTAACCAGCTTTTCAATATATTTCTTTAACCTTTTTGATATATAGACAAAACAGGACCAACGAAGGGTAAGATTATGTTACTAAGGAAACATTAAGGGGATCACATTCCCTTCAAAGATGCTAGTGGAGCCTCTCAGCTGCAAACCGTGACGCGCCACACTAATTGCACCGCATTTTCGGCTCAGTTGAGGCACCCTCCGCAAGATGAGGCCCCCTCCGCAAGGTGAGGCCCCACGCAGTCTGCATGATCGGCCTGTAGGGAGGGACGGCCCTGGTTCTGATTCAGTGATTTACTCATATAAACATGCTAACAAGCTAGCTAGCAAGTCCTTATTCCCCCTTTGCTTTGGCTAAAATGCCACCATTCCAATGCAAGTATTAGAGCTATTAGCAGCTCCTAGCATAGAATATTGTGACAAATGATATGTGTATTTTCACAAGCAAATTGTAAGTCTGCCCACACTGTAACGCTTACAATTATGCTCTATACTTATGTGGATGAGGAACAACATTTATTGAGTTGGGGCAAGCGTGCCTTGCTTAGTTGGCAAAACATATTAACCACGACCCAGAGGAACATCTGTGAGTTTCTGAGAAACCAGTCCTTTTCCAAATACAAGTCTTTTCATGTTGTTCATATTTTCTTTATTACAACTGAATCAATCTGTTGTACTGGAGTTGATCCATGCTGCAAGAATTCTGACTCACATTCGAGTAATAATTTGGAGGCTCTTTCTGTACAACTGTTTCTGTGAAGCTGTTAGACCACGGCTTGTTTCCTACAGAGCAAGCATTTACTGTAAATCCTTGTAATTATTGAGCAGTAAGAAGTGATTGTTTATTTTTTTACTTTTGGCTTACTTATTACAGTTGTCACCTTATACTTAAAGTTATTGTCATTTAAAAAGAAAAAAGACTTTGAGGCCTCGATGAAGGTGATTATTTAGTTAAATTAGTTTTATTCGAAGGGATCTTTCTTATCGCCAGATATCAATGAAGTTGTGTGAGTCTCTGTCTTCTGTCTGTCTGTGTGCAATTATTGATAAAGTGAGCTCTGGGATGAAAAAAGCCACAGAGTACTAAGTTGCAGAATAAAATTTCCATTGTGCTAAGGAAAATTCCTGTCGAAAATCCCTCAGAGATTTCCTGCAAGTTTCCTGAAAAGGACTCTCAGTCGTTGTGGAAGAACATGAAACAATGGTCATGGCATGTGGCTGTAAAGCTATAAGCAAATCTGCACATCTCCCTTGTTGGGAATACGTTAAAATGCTGACCGTCTGGAAAACAGAATAATCACAAATTCAATATTCCACTATGTAATAAATAAACAATGAAGCGACTATTCTCTTAAAGAGAAGCCTCGCCACATTACCATGCATTTCTATTTTAAGCATCTTTTGATGGCTGCCATATGCATCACAATCATATTACAGCAATAATGGGGAGTAATTCAAATAAATGACTTGGAAAAAGATGTTGGTTACCTTTTATTGCACAGCATTTAGTTGGATCTCACTATATTATTCCATGGTGTTAAAAGTTATGTTTTTGCTGACTTGCAATGTGGTAATGACAGTTATAGGTGGTGTCACCTCGGTGGTATGCTCCATTACATCAATCTGACTGAGGGATTGAAGTTATCCAGACACTGAAATAACAGCAAAGCAATTCTACCTCAGCCTGTCTTCAATATATGGCAAGTTATGACAAAGAGATGGAGACATCAATGGTGAAAAGACTGAAGAGAGGAAAAAGAGATGACAGAAAGATGGATGAGAATAAACTTTGCAGACGATTTATTGTTTCTGTTGGTGTAAAATGTGTTTTAGGAAGTTTCTTCACAGTAGGAAGGATTCTGTTTAAAAGTTAGTGCAGCTGTAATGTAATTATCCAACTTCTGTTGATTTTAAATTAGTTTCACAGTCGTATTGGCTACTTGAAAAGATTGTAGCATGACCCTGGCACACAACCAGTGGAAAATAGGAAAAGGATATAGTGGAAAAGCCACCTCCCCCACACAGTCCGTTCATAGAGATTGATATGTAACACATCCTGAACACAAGCGCTGACCTCCTCCATTCCAGGATGTTAGAAACTCTGAAGGTTTTTTTAAATATAAGTTATCCAGAGGTCACATATTGTTTTTAAATGACATTGACTTGTTGTTAGGCATATCATCGCTACCAGCAGCGATTTATCATTTGCTACAGCGTTTAGTAATTGCCAAATAATTCTAAGTTATATGGCATGTCTTGTCTCTTTGCACATTTTGCATTTAGTTGGAGTAAAGGCATGTGTGTGGTTAAAGTCCCCAGTGAATTGTTTGTGCAGTAGTTTCTCCTGTTATGATATCTACTCTCAATGTCAAGTGAAAAGGGTCTGCAGGAGCGCAGGAAAGTAAAAAATGATACTATTAGAAGTATAAGGACGTGGACTTTTATAGACGTGAAATAACAATACAGGACAGTTTGAAGGCCCAGGAAATGCGGTTATTTTTGTGCTGAGTGAGCACTGTGTCAGCTCATGGTTTTCCATGTTGGTTGGAGAGTGGGGGCTGCACAGGCCACCCTTACTGAAGGTTTTCCATCGTGGTGAGTCTTCAGACATACACGGCATCCAAAGAGTCTGTCGTCTCTGTTTATGGAGACGATGAAACACCGTCCTCTGTTTCACCACAAGAAGGTTAATTGACTGAGCAGACTTTAAAAAATGTTAGAAAAAAATGTTGACCTTTCTGGGAAGACGGAATGATTTGGTTCAAAGTGCACCTTCTAATCCATCTTCAGTAGAAACACGGCTGACAAAAGTGAGAGTCACAGTGATGAATGTCTTCCTTTGTCTCATCGAAAGCCTCTTTGTCATGGGCAAGAGCACTTTTTAGCTTTTGACTTCTCAGCCATTTTTAGCTGTCAGTGTTATTCGGTTTATTGTTAGACAAGTGTTTTGGCTGCCATCACATAAGCATCAATCTTGACTTTGGCAGCTTATATAGTGACATAGTAAGTAAGGTTTTATTTGGAACAAGGGACTTTAAATAGACACGTCACATTTTTTTCTGTTGATAATTGGTCTCTTTAGGTTCGCAGGTTTTTTTTAATAGATGTCACTCATGAGAATTTATATCAAATTGATTCCAAACACACTCTAAACTGTCTGAACCGTCCCCTGCTCAAGCCTGTTCACAGAATATGACATTAATGGAGATTGGTTCATTGCAGTGTAAAGTCATTCTTGCTTCATTTTCCAGTTGCCTTTGGAAATCTCATTGGCACCTAGTAAAATAAAGGTGGTTTTTGCTCTCAGAGGAGGGGACTGCTGGATGCATTAGTTTTACAAGCCTGTCACTATTCATTTGTCATTCCCTGGTGCACTGACTCTAAATGCAAACGCTGTGCCTAATAGTGTTTCAGACATCATGCTTTATTGCAACCAGTACTCATACCTTAGTTTTTCAAAATGGCATGTCAATTGTTACTCTACCTTAAGAATCTAATTCAGTTTAACTTGAACACATTGTTGATTAGTAGTGCAAAATAAAGCAAACAAATGAAGGTGTCACATAGGAAATAATTAAAAGCCAATAGAGTGGTGCAGGGATGACGTATTTACCTGGAAGTAAGCTGCGCATGGGTTCCCCTGACAAAAAAGCAATGGGTTTTCTCCATAGGATTTTGGAAAATAGCTCGAAATAAGGTCTGTGGAAAACGAACCTCTTTGATAAATGCACGTTTTGTTCAGCCGGATAATCTCCACATGTCTACCCTACTTTTTAAATGTTCGAATCATAAATCTAATCGCCAGAAGCAAAATGCTAACGTTATGCTATAAATGAACTACAGCCGAGTACAGCAGGGTCGCACGACTTCAACGTCACGTTAAGATCGATATTAAAAAATACAGATTCAAGTTGAAGCGTTTGTTATAACAGTTTGCAGGAGGCAGGTACTTGCTTTCAAGCAGAACAGGGGCAAACCAACTTAGCGGGAGTGTTTATGTGTTCGGCGTAATGACGTACAACGTCCTCGACAACTTCTGTAGTCCGATTCAGCCACTTGTTAACAACCATCGTTTTTCAGACACGTAAACTCTTAAAAAATCACCATTGCGGTCACTGCTGATGTATTTAATGTCGTAGAACAAAACGTGATCCGTCTCTTGACTTAAATGCTAACTCACTTCTGGGTTTTAGGACTCGTCACTGCACCACTCTATTTGCCAAAAGCTGTGGTTGTTGCCTGGTGAAGGCACCTGCAGAAGGCTGCTTTCTTTCAACTTCCTTTCAGCGAGGGCCCACCCCGTGCCGATCACGGCCCCACATCAGTAGGGGCGTCCGAAATGAGGTGCTACATCTGTATGTTTTCAGCATTAACAAAGCAGTAATATTTAAAACTAATATTCACATTATTCCTAACTTTTTGGCCAGAAAAGAAGAACAATCTAA